GGCAAGTTACAATTTTGCAATGAAAGACACTCGATTCTCTCTTTGTGGCTATGGACTGTGTTCATGGAGTTGTCTGGATTTTTGCAACCAAATTCTGGTTCATTTGCTTGTGTAGCCTTGTATAAATTCAGATTTGCCTGCAGTTGCATTCTTTGAGCTGATTTCCTTCCCCTTTGAGGCTTCTGCTGTGACCCTCTAATCTTCCTTTGCATCCTCAAGTTTTAGAAGCAGGAACTGTTGTAAAAAATGAGAGTCAAGGCTGTCCGGCCTGGTGCCCCCAAACATCTGGTGCTGGGCCTCCTCAGGCAACCATGTCTTCTCAGGCCCAGAAAAGGTGGCCCGACAGCTGTGAGCTTGGGGGCTGGTGAAGCCCCTCCCTCCCGGCCCTGCTGCTCGCTGCAAATGGCTGCCATCCCTGTCCTCTGTTTACCTAGTTAGCTTGCAGGCAGGGGGAAGGGGCTTGGGAAGGGGGAAAACCTCTAACTCTGTTGCATAGTAATAGTTGCCATGGAGACCATTCCCTCTGCATCCTTGCATCCTGGCTGCCTGATGTTCCTCCTTTGGTCCTGTCTCTCCACAGATCTGAGAGAGAGGCTGGGATGGGAGGGACACCTCCTGCCAGTCATAGAAGGATAGGTAGAAAAGGTGCCAGTCCTTGCTGCCAGCCATCTCTTGAGGGCACCAGCAGGAAACAGCATCTAATGCCCCTCGGGCTGGCCTCGGGGGCCAGTGGGACTGCAAGGAAAAGGTCCTTCCCAGTTGCCACCCACTGCCACCCATCTGCCCCCCCTCCCTCCCTCCCTCCCAGGCAGCTCCTTGCAAGCCCAGATCCTCCTTTACAAACTAGGTCATGCTTTCTGCCTGTCTTCCCAAGCAGCAGCAGCAGCACGTGTGGAAGTGCCCGAGGACGCCCACCCTCTTTTCCGAAGAAGACCCCTGCAGCCCACCGCCTGCCTTCCCTTCTGCCTGCCAACCTTTGTCTTCCTCTCCCAAGGAAATGTTCCTCTGGGCGCCCCTCTTCCTGAACGCCCCTCGCTCCCCCATCCTTCTCTGCTGCCGGGGCTGAGCAAAGCCCCGGCTCCAGCCCTTCTCTCGTCCTCAGCTTCCCCTCCTGGAGGCATCTCGGGGCCACTTCAGCAGGCCCTGGAGCTGACCTTGCGAGGCTGGAGCGCTCTGGGACCTGGCCTGTGCTTAGCACGTGTGAAACGGCTGGCTCCCCAACCACATTCCAGCGTAGCCAAGCATTGTCGTACAAGTGTCTTTCTACCATCTCTTCAATATGAAAAGTGGATCAACGGCCTGTTTTTTTTGCAAGTAGTTTTTGAAAACTGAACATTTGAGGAGCTCAAATCCTTACTTGGCTCCAAAGCTCACCAGATGCTTAGGAGGGGGGTGGGGGGCATCTCGTTTTGGTTGCCTTTGCTTCTCGGGGTTCTTGTATGGGAAGGCAGGAAGGCAGGACCCCTTCCTCAGCTGCAGCTGTGCAAGCAGGTGGAGGAAGCCCCCCCCCCCCGCTTCTTAAGCCAGTGGATTCTGCTTGTGGTGGAAAGTATCTAGGCCGCAGCCAGAGCAGACCCGGGAGTGCTGGTTAAAGAGGGAAGAGAGGTGGGAAGAGAGTAGGCAATCCTCAGCTGCCTCAGCTCAAGACAAGCCATTGTTCCTCATGATTCTGCATTGGTCAGCGCAGCACTCGAATAGCGTACCCAATTTAGGGCAGCATATTTGAGGGAAGTTGTTGACTTCCAGTCAAGGGGAGCAGCTGCCTTGGGAGAGGTGGACTCTCCTTTCCTGAAGGTATTTCAGCAGAGGTGGGGGAGGGGGTCACCTGTTGGGGAAGCTGCAGGGGTAGCCCCGGGGGGGGGGGGGAATTCTGATTTTGTGATATGGGACAGATTTTGGTCAGAGGGACATTGTCCTGCTGCTGCATGTGGGCTGCTAAGGTCCTCGAGGGGTACGTCAGTTTGAAACGGCTGCCACTTTGTGCTGAACCCTACTGCTATTGCCGAAGGCAGTGTTGGCACACAGCAGAGCAACATGTGGGCAGAGACACTGCTGCTGATGCCATCCTCCCTTAGGTCCAGATTGATGGGCTCTGGGTCCAGAACCAGGACTGGCCTTTGCTGGGGAGGGACCTTACATGGTGAGTGTAAGATAGGAGATGCAGCCACTGATGAGCATGCGAATCTTGCCTGGCCTCCGGTGGCTTCTGGGGCTTGGCAGAAGGGTGTTGTTGAAGGGTGCAGTGGCCTCTTGCTGGCTCCCCAGGTGCACCTTTCGGTATTGGTTGGGTGCTGTGGAAGCGGGTGCAGCTCCTGTGGGGGACCTGCCTTGGATGCAGCTGGCAGCTGTTCTCGGAATCCTGGGCTGTGCAGGAACAGGAATCTCTGTTTCTTGAGAGCAATTGACACCCCACCCCCCCATTAAAGACTTTGGTGACTGGACGAGGCTCTGCTCGCCGAAAAGGCCCACAGTGCTCCTTCTTCCACTTGGGTTGGAGAGTCCACCTTCCTGCTTCTGGATCACCGTGCCCCTCTTCCGGCAGGCTGGCTCTGGTTGAAGCTCACACCTCCCGCAGCTGGCAGGTGGGCATCTCTGAGACAGGAGAAGGGCCAGACCTGGCAGAACTCTTTCCAGCTGCCTCATCTTGCTTGCCCCACAGACTGCCAGCCATTCCCCAGCCAGCTGGGCACAAAAGCCCCTTGTGGCATCTGCTGAATGAAGTGGCGCATGTGATCTGTGGCTTGATTGCATCTTCACACACACACACACAGCTCCCAGTCAGGGGCACCGAGGGGCCCTTCCTGGCTGGGAGGGTCATTCCAGACCCTGTTTGGGGGAGACGGAGTTCTTCTGTGGGTGACAGTCGCCTCCCAGGACAGTTGGCCCTCAGTGGGCTTCAGATGGGCTGGGCAAGACCCAGCGGGACAGTCCACACTGCCCTGGGGTGTACAGAGGATTGTTCTGAATTCAGGACACGGAGGAGATGATGGCAGGATTTTGGGGGTCTCTTTGGCTTGTAACCAGCAGCTTGGATGCCACCAGAGATCCCGTCTGACTACTGGGACCAGAAAGCACCTAAGGAGAAAAAATGGGGGGCTGGTTGCGTTGGCTTTTTAGGAAGGGGGGAAAAGGACTAAATTGCCAGGTACGTTTGGGGCGGTGGTTCATCTGGAATCCTCTGGAGTTCAGGGGTTCAAGGGGAGCCCAGCCCAACAGGCAAAGATCTACTGGGCAGCCCCACCCCTGTGGGCTCGGGGATTGGACCCCCGACCTCCCAGGCTCAAAGGCGGCTGCCTCTCTGGGCCTCTGGTTCTTTCAGAACGCCCAGCGCCCACGTGGCAAACGACTGTTTTGAAAGAACGACAAACCACGAATTGATTGTTGGTTGTGGCTCTTTTGTGCCTGCACAGGCCAGGTGTGTACAGTGTGCACTTCCTGTTGTGCTGTTCTGGGGTTGAAGTGTTGTTAAGTGGAAACTTTTCTTCCACTTCCCTCTCCTGTTTCCTGGGGAGGAGAGAAGGGATGGTGACGTCTGACCTTCCCCGACCTTCAGAGGCCTCTCGGTCCACCCGGGGACCGTAGAAGCCAGAAGGGCCTGAAGACGTCATCAAATCCAACCCCCGCTCACATCGTTACGTTCTCTTAGTTCTTTTACTAAGTGGTAGTATCTGGTTGTATTTATTTACTTATTAATTATTAATTATTCTTTTTGGTTTTTTAAAATTTTGCTTCTGATGGACCGAGCAAATATTATGGATTGCGTGAGTGAGTGAGTGAAGGCACTTAAGAAGTCATCAAGTCTAACCCCCCCCCCACTAGGCCATCTCCAAGAGATTATTATCTAGCCTCTGTCTGAAAACTGATCAACTTTTCGTTATCCTTTTCTATTTTTGTATGTAGGCATCTTTTTGTATTCCTGAATGCGTTTGTCACAATGGGCTGACTTTGACTGTACTCAAAAAAATGGAGTGGGCTTTGAGTTTCTCTCAGTCGGACTGAGGAGTCAAAAGAAAGCTCTGGAAGAAAAAACCGTCTCATGCCTGACTTGACGGAGCCTTGGCCAAGTGAGAAGCTGTGGGGCTCCTTCTAGGCCGAGGCCCCGGAGATTCTTCTCTCCTGCTCCCCCACATTGCTTGGGGGAGGGGGAGAGGCCCAGTTGCTTTCTAGGAAGGACAGGTGGGGAAGGGGCTGATCGGTGGGGCGTTGGGAGGCTGACTTGCAGCCCGGCTGTACAAAAACAATAGGCTGTGCACGCAAGCCAGGTCACCGCGGAGGGGCTGCCTTTCCTGGACTTCAGGCACAGGTGGGCTTCTGCTGTGCTGTCAGTTACGCAGAGCAGCAGCTGTCCTGGAGAGGAGGGGATCAGGGTGGAATTCTGGTATTTGTAGGGTGAATCAGAAGGAGAAGCAACTTCTGTGTGCTTCTGTCGAGAAGTAGCAATCGGAAATTGTTAGGGTCTGAATTGAGGGGTCCCCCAACATTTGCCTTTCCGCTTCCTGGGATGTTTGGGGGGAGGATTTTATCAGGAACCTGCTGCAAGATTATCCTGGGAAGGGGGGAAAGGAGGTGAACTGTGCCCACGGTGTTTTCCCTCCCTCCCTCCCCTCTCTCTCTCTCTCTCTGTGTGTGTGTGTGTGTGTGTGTACCAGGAACCCCTAGCTCATTTTAGAGGCACTCAAAGGGGAGAGAGATGCAGCTCATGCAGCCCCAGAATGTTTGGCCCCACAGATCATCTCAGACCCAGCCAAGCCATGATTCTGACCCCTTCTCCTCCCTTCTGCTTCCTTGCAGGACTCCTCCTGTCTTTTTTATGACTCCCCGTCTGGATTTATACCGAGTGGAATATCATGAACTGAAGAAATTGGCTCTTCTTCTGTTTTTGCCTTCTTAATTTTTTTGTACTTTTCCTTTTTTTTTTTGATGAGAATATTTTGATTTTTTTTTTCCTTTTTAAACTTTTTTGAAATAAAAAAAATTGAGGCACCTCATATCGTGAGAAGATGGGGAGGAAAAAGATCCAGATCCAGAGGATTACGGATGAAAGGAACCGGCAGGTCAGTCGCAGGAAGTGGCTTTATTTGTCTGTGTCCTTAATTGATCCTGATTGATTCACGGAGGCCTCTGTCTTCTTGCTGGTACAGCAAGGAGATCAAAGCCAGGGAGATGCTTGGTGTTCCTGGCTGTGCCTGATGGGCTTCTGGTGGTCTGAGGCTCCCAGAGGACCATCTCTGGGGATGGGGGTGTAGGTGTGTCTCTGCATTTTAGAGTCACAAGGCTCTGGGATATGTAGGGCCAGACCCCCTGAAGACCCACCCAGACTCATTTCCAGGGGCCTGGGATCCTTTCTTGCTAATTCTGGGTGTGGCAGCTGCTTCCCAGCCCTTATCCTGCTGGCTGGGACTTCAACATCCCTGGCTAACTTCTGGTCCTCGTTTGGTTGGTCATACAGTCTAGTGGTTAGACATCAGCCAGGGAGAACTCACCAGGGAAGGCAGCCCGGCAGCCTTTGAAGCCTTCAGTTCAGAGCTGATCTGGGGGTGTCACTTTTCTTCTCACATGTTAATCAATATAGGCAAATACATTGGATAGTTTCAATGTGGTACAATGGACTTCAGAATCTTGTGGACAAGGTAAAGGTTTCTTTTCTGCTTGGCCAAGTGCTGGACCACTAAGTATGGTGATGCTCAAGGATATGGACTGGAAAGCCATTCCTGCTCTTTGCTCATCTGGCTTGTAAACAGGGATCTTCAGGGTTTTCAGCTTCTTCCTCAAAGTTCCTGGGGATCCATCCATCCATCCATCCATCCATCCATCCATCCATCCATCCATCCAAATTTAGGATAAGGCCAGAGATCAAGGAACTAGTTTCCACGTTATGTCATCTGAGACTGCTTTATGTCATGACTAATACAAGCTGTTCTTTCCAACTTCATGTCTGACTTTATGAGGAACCCCCCAATTAAAAAAAAAAGATTACTGGATGAGACCTACTGAAACCAACAGTTAAATCAGCATTTCTGACGTCTTTTGGAATCTTTGGGTGGGGAAGATGATAGGGTGGTTCTAAACTTAGCTTCCCATATTTCTGCTTTGAAATAAATGAGGAAATTCTGGGCTTGCAGTTGTTGGGTTTCTAAGGATTCATGGATTTCCCTGGAGTGGGGAGGGGGATGAATCCTATACTGGTATTAAAGGGGAAACAGATTCCCAGGTTGACCTGGGAAACTAAAATCATCACTTCCAAGCAAGCACTGACTTTCCTTCATCTCCCTTGAAGCAACGCAGAGGATGACTGGAGAAGTGTGGAAGAGAGCTTCTTAGAAGGGCTACTTCATGCAGTGAAGTTGGCAAAGGAGTTTTCTCTGCCTCTGTTACATCTTAGCAGTGGCTGTGTTTGTCCAGTCCTAAACTTGAGTTAATCAACTTCCTTCTTGTGTTTGCATAACATGATATGGCCACCTAAGCCACATCCTTGCTTAACCTGGTGGTCCAGTTCATGTGAAGGAAAGGTTGGCTTCGCACAACCCCTCAAGTCACAAATTATCCAACTCTCTGTTTAGTCCAGGACATTGTATGAACCCAGACACTCTTATCTAGTAGGCCTTATCTAGTAGATAATCAAGAGTTTTGGAGAAGGAAATGGTGGGCATTCCATGGACTTAGGGTAAAATTGCTTTATGAGCTTCATCCTGAATGATTTTAGGCATTATTTTCTTGACCCAATCTGGAAGGAATTTTGGCCACCCGTTCTCAAGAGGGGAATGGCGAGCGAACCCAACGGAACCTCTGGGGTTTGAAGCCCCGTCAGCCATGGTGATCTTCTCTGGTGATCAGCGCATTGTCTGGCAATGTTTCCACTGCAACGTGGATGGTTATTTGATGGTTATTTGAAGGATGCAAATATGGCTTTAATTGGGGAGGAAAATTACATTATAGGGAGTCTTAGGATCTCTCCGAAATCTTAACAAGAAGCTGTTTGTGATATTTGTGGGTTAGGTAGAGATGTCATAAATATGCTGCCCGCCTTCACCTGTCTAAGAGTTGGCCTTCGTGGCAGAAAGAAGGGGGGCACGAGACAGTTATCTAGAATTGTGTGTGGTGGAGAACGTGGATGGAGAGGTATTTTCTCCGGCTCTTACCATGACAGAAAAGGACAGGAAAGAGTGTGTGCGTGCGTGCGTGCTCACCCGCATTGTCTTGTTGTGGAATCTGTTCCAACTCCCCCTTCTTGGGTGTGCCCTCCTCCAGATTTGTCTGCCTTCCCCCAAGTGCCCTGGCCTGGATCTCCCTCCCTCTTCCTCCCACTGCACCCAGCTGCCCTTGGAGCTGTCCCTCCCTTGCAGATGGCACCTGTCCCTCCCCAGGGACTCTGCGGCCCCGTCCCTTTCACCTGGGGTCCATCCGCTGCTGCCCACTCCCCAGGAGGGCTGCAGCAAGTCCTTCCCTGCCCTTCGGGGATCAGGGTCTGAGAGTGACCCCCTGAGGGTGGCAGATGGCCTGTTCGGATTTCCAACCGCCCAGCAGGTCTGCTCCCGTGGTCCCCTCTGCTCCGGATGACCTGCAAATCCTATTAGGAGACCTGAAGAGCCTCCTTCAGCCCCTGCTGGCTGAGTCCACCCAGCGGGCGGGCGGGCGAGGGGAGTGGGAGAGGCCCAGGGGGCTGGGTGGCACTGGGAGGGGGAGGGGCCCAGGCTTGGGATGGGAGCCACCAAAGAGGAATGCTTATGCAATCAGACACCCCCCTCGGTCTGTTTCCTGGCAGGTCCCCTGTGTTGTACTGTACATGGTGCTCATAGAGCAGTGGTTCTCAGCCTGTGGGTCGGGACCCCATTTGGGGTCGATCGACCATTTCACAGGGGTCGCCAAGCAAGGCTGTCCGCCATTTTTTTTGTCCGCCATTTTTTTCCCCTTTTCCGGCGGGTGCCTTACCTCCCTTGGGCTGGGCCAGCTGGTGGTCGGCCTGCTCCGTCTCTGCCGCTTGCCAGCTACGCCTCGGCCGGCGCAGGGGGCGGAACCACGCATGCGCGGCACTCCCGGGCAGGGAAAGTCCTCGACTTACGACCGGTTGGGTAGTCCTCGACTTACGACCGGTTTAGTCCTCGACTTACGACCGGTTGGGGGTCGCGGTATTAAAAAGGTTGAGAACCACTGTCATAGAGGCTCCCAGGCATCCATGTGTGATGTGCCCCCCTTTGCCTCCCTCCCCCCCCCCCCCGGGTGCTCTGCTGGAGGCAGCAGGACTCTGAAATTTCTTTCAATCCACTTGGACTCCTGAGGTGGCTGGTCTTGAATCCGAACAGAATCTCGAACCTTCCTGCCCCCATTGTGCCCCCAACTCCTGGCTTCCCGAACATCTGGAGGCCCCATTTCAGTGGGCAGCTGAACCTCCAGGAAAAGCTGCGTTGGTGGGGGGCTTTGAGAAGGGCCAACTTCATGGGTCATCACAGATGAAGGAGGCCGGTGCTGCTGTCATGACTGCGAGCATACACGGGTTGCTTCCTTGGGGGGAGAAAAAGGTCCCCCCCCCAGTTACAGGAACTGCACTCTGCACACGGCCAGTGTTCCCCACGCAGAGCATAACTGGTGGAAACAGGCTCTGGGGACCCCCAGACGGTGAGAGGACAAACTGCAGCCCCCCCCTCTATAGGGGAAGAAGAAATTCACACAGCTGCTCATCCATTTTAGGCCCTCACAAATCTTCTAAATAAACTTAACAATAAGTTTAATCAGCTGGCTGTACATGTACCATATATGTTGTTTTTATTTGTTTGACATCTACCGTAAGTGAAATCTCCTTCACGCCAGTCTGATTTCTGGTGATGTCATGGAGACTTTTGGGCGGCTTTCTGGGCAGAGTAATGGACGTTTTTTGGCACTGACTTTTTCTGAGTGTTTTTCAATTTCCTAATAGTCTCCGTTCCAAATCTTGGCTGGTAAACCTTGGGATGAGGTTCCATCCCTTCATTCCTAGTGACATTTTCCTTCAGTTGACAGCAACCCTGCAATGCAAGTATGAAGTATTGGGGAAAAAAGACTGTTATTTTGAGGAGAAATGCTACATTCATGTGCAAATGTATGTGAATTTGAATAAATCAATCAAAAGTCCCATGACTGACTGACTGAACGTTCTTGATAATGTTTCTCAGCATTCTGCAGTGATTTAGAGTAGGAGTGTGCAGAGTATTTTGAATTTGAACTGTTTTATGTTCCAGTCCCAAATGTCACCCTTGAAAGGCCCCGTTTCTAGAGTGAAGCAGCTGCTTTTACTGTGGGGTGGGATGTTGCCACAGTTTGGGGGCTGTTTTGAGGACATGCTGTGCTTCCAAAATGACCGAAACAGGGAGGTTGGGGCTCAGGATGAGATTCCTGCGTTTCTGGTGGCTGCTGCCTTCATGGCTCCCTCTGGGGTGGGGAGGACACATCCTGGAGCACGTGGCGGCTGGGAAGTTGGGCCTAGCAGAATGCTGGCTAAATCCAAGGGCCCCCACCGCTGGCTTGTCTAGGCAGGGGCCCATTTCACACTAGGCAAAGAACCCAGCCTGTAAACAAAGGAGGGCGGGCAGGCGCATGTTTTCAAGAGGGAGACCCTCCGACCCACAGCTCCAGCTGTGTGTGTGTGTGTGTGTGTGTGAGAGAGAGAGAGAGAGAGAGAGA